GGGATTGAACTCAGACCCTTGCACTTGCTAGGGAAGCACTTATTCCACTGAGCCATCTCCCCACCCCCCCTATTTATTTTAATTAATTAACTAATTAAAAAAATTTTTAGACAGAACCTCACTGTATAGTTTCAGCTGTCAATCAACTCACTATGTAGTCCAGGCTGTCCTCAAACTTATGCAATCCTCCTGCCTCAGCCTCCTGAGTTCTGGGATTATAGGCATGCACCACCACACCTGGTCAACTGGTCTAAAAAAAAAAAAATCCTTCTTGCCATCCTGGGAGGTCAGGGAAGGCAGATGCTGGCCTCTGCTTCACATTGCCCAGCCATGTGGAAGAGAAAGGAATATTCAGAATGCTGGCCTTGTTTTATATTTCTGATCCCTGAATGGAGTAGCTTCCTGTTCCTGGGTACCCTATTTCCAGTAATATCATCAGGTTTCCTTTTGTAATGGCTTCTTCACCACCACCACCACCATCACCACCACCCCATCCCACCCCTGGAAAAAGTAAGTTTGCCTTCTGGTTGTTCAATCCAAAATACTACATATTCACTAGTTGAGGGATAGGGAGGCAGCTCAGGATTCAAAAAGCATTTCCTGGACAGAGGATGCCTCTGGATTTGCAGAACCCTAACTCCACCCCCTGGAGTGTGTCCTTTAACCCCTCCTCCTAGGAAACACTGAGCCACACAGAGCCCCAGACTTGGTGCAATGGACTCGACATATGGAGGTAAGCAACCTCAGAGGTCAGAGGTCAAGGTGGACAAGTCAGGGGGTGGTAGGAGGCAGGGCTAAAGACTGGCATGGTGATAAGATGATGTATTGAGTTCAACGCTCAGTTGAGAATTAGGGGCTAACATGGAGATGTTTGAGATCTATGTCCTCAGGGCAGGGACCAAAAGTCAACCAGTATAGTTGATTAGTGTGGCCAGAGGTTGCTCCGTGTGTGTGTGTGTGTGTGTGTGTGTGTGTGTGTGTGCACATTTTATTTGAGACAGGGTCTCAGGCCAGCCTTAAAGTCATCATCTTCCTATCTTGGCCTTCCACGTTCTGGGATTACAGGTGTACACCCGCACGCCCAGCTTCCTGCTATTATTCTTGATTCTCACTGCTGTCCCAGGAAGCCTGGAGATAAGTGTGAGACGCTCTGGGCAGGAACAATGGCTTGTCATCTCATCCTTAGCACTTAGCACTGGGTCTGGCATACAGAAAAGCTTAGTAAATGTTTGGCAAGTGAGAGGATGGCTGGATGGATAAGACAGTGGGATCTGCCCTGCCTTTGTCCTCAGGCTGTGAAGAGGCAACTGCTGGAGCAGGCTCAGGGCCAGTTGGGGGAACTGCTGGATTGGGCCATGAGGGAGGCCATAGAATCCTACCCGACACAAGACAGACCTTTCACTCCCTCCAATTCAAAGAGCAAGTGAGTCTGAGAATCTAGTAGGCTGGAAAGGACTGCAGGGTCTTCCTCCATTGTGAGGATCATGAGCCATAAGCATGCACCCTTTGGCAGCCTTGGCACAACCTTGACTTCAGCCTCTGCTTCCCTTATGGCCTTGTCTTTGTGACACTAATCTCTACCTTCTGGGCCTTCCTTGTTCTGCCCTGTCCCTGATCTTTCTCTGCTACCATGCTGGCTCAGAAGTACTGACCTCCCACATGGCCCTGCCTTTTGCCCCTTGCCTTCTGTCTTTGGGACCTAACCCTGAATAACTGTCTCAATTCAGGACCCAGGAGCCACACCTTGGGAAACAAAAAGTTTTCATCATCCGAAAGTCCCTACTTGAGTAAGTCAAGGGTGAAGGTGGAATGGAAGGAAAAGAAAGGACTTCAGCTGGTGGCCCAGGACACCTTATTGCTCATTCCTAGGTTCCAGGTGCTTTGTGGGGAGGTGGTGAAGAGTGTCTCTGAGACTGTTTCCCTCATTTGCTTTGCGCTAAGCCACTAAGATTAGATGTCTCAATCACATCCCAGTCCATAGCTGGAAGTTCTGGCTCAGTAGGCCCAGTGCTCACCTATGTACAGTTGTCTGAGTTGTCCACCTGACCCTGAGTACTCTACCACACTGACCTTTGTGACCTGTCCCTCAGTGAGCTGATGGAGGTGCAGCATTTCCGCACCATCTACCACATGTTCGTTGCTGGCCTGTGTGTCTTCATCATCAGCACCCTGGCCATCGACTTCATTGATGAGGACAGGTAGGCACCCTCCACCCTAATAGGCACACAGATCAATCAGACCACTTGGTCCCTGTGCCTCACCTTCCCCTTGACCCAAGAAGGCATATGCCCCCCTTTGATTATTGGACACACACCAACATGGCTTTCAACAGCTTCCTACCTAAAATACTCATGTATCCCTCTACTCCCCAGCCTTGAGTGACCCTTGGTCTGTCCTTGGAGGGCCAGCTATTTTGAGGATATCATACCCCTCTCCTTCTTCTCAATAATACTCTTTCCTTGATCTAGAAACACCACTCCACATAATACCCTCCTTTCCAAGTTAGCAGTATTCATTCAAGTAACAGCCATTGAATACATATTGAGCATCAGCCCTGGGGGCCAGAGATATGAAGGGGGAACCCCAACCCCAACTATGAGCCAATTCCACTATTGTGAGGAAAGTGAATGTGCACTCAAGTGCCTTGGCAGGTTGATTTTTCCACAGAGGCCCCTCCCACATTCTGAGGATGAGCCTCAGAGGGCTGTTGACCCCTAAGGACCTGTATGTTCGCATCTCTCCTCGGGATCAGGATGCAATAAAAAGAAAAAGATATGAATCTCCAGGTTCACCAGTAGCATTCCTTCTTGGTAAACTTTTTGTTAGTTATGAGTTTTGCAAGGTTAAAATCTCAGTTAAAAGATCACCTATGGGGCTGGAGAGATGGCTCAGTGGTCTAAAGCACCTACTTGAAACAAGCTTGGCAAAGCACAGGGACCGCGGTTCGATCCCC